GCTACCAAAAAAGACTTCAAACGGCTGTGAAACTCCCCTTCGATTCTGGCTCCCTGGATTTCTTGACATTTGAGCATCGTGAGAAGAATCAAGTGCAAGGGTCCAGACCGATGTCCTTGGAACTATGATGGGATCATTTCTTAGCCATGTTGTTGCTACTGATTTATAGAGCACAGCCCTATATCTTCCACCCATCTTGTCTGACAGTTCCTATGAGACAGTTCTCTCTGTTTGCCTGTCGCTAGGAAAGGGCGGCATTCAGAGAGCCTTTCCTCAGCGTCCCAAACTGCACCAACAGGCCTTCTGTTTATGAATGGCCCTGGGACCGTGTCTGTGCAGAGGGTGATCGTGTTGTTATTCCTGTTATTATTGTTGCTATTGTTATTGTTGTCGTTATTTGCAGTACGTCGCACCGTTTTCAAAATGTCGTTTGATCGTTCACCCTAACAGCATCACTGTGGGGGAGCTGTAGGGGTTGAGTACTGTATGGTTATGAGTTACAATTAGCGAAGAACATGTACTCCATCGGGAATATGTCAGTAATATTGCAATAAACATGTATGGTGCCAGGTGGGGACTAGACTTATCGGGGGGATTACTTCATAAAAAAAAAGAGCATGTACCCCAGAGCCAGACTGCCTGGCTTGCATCCTGGCCCAGGTTCCTAGTTGTGTAGCTGTGTGGACAAGTTACTAAATCTCTCCGAGCCTCAGCTTCCTCACCTGTAAAATAGGGAATAATAATACTTCCTACCTTATTAGGTTATTATCAAACAAATAACTAAATGTTTACGAGGGATATAGAACAGTGACTGACATAGAATAATCACAATTACAGCGCTCACTTTTATTATTGTTGTCATCAACAATATCATCCTCTCTACTTTGCAGCAGAGGTTCCATATGTTTGTGATTTGCTCAGGATCATAGTTCACGTACAGGCTGGGGTAACAACTCAAACCTGGGCGTCGTGTCTCTTTTTTTTCCCCGCTCGGCCTTTATTTTCTGATTACACAGCAACACAACAATGCATGCCTGTTGTAAAGAATGGAAACCAAGGGCCGGCCGAGTGCCTCAGTTGGTTAAGAGCTTGCTCAAGGGTGTGAGCTCTGCGCAACAGCGGTTCGAGTCCTGGCCCGAGCTGAGCTGCCACTGAGCTGCCAACAGGTGGCAGAATGGCTCAGCTAAAAAAATAAATAAATAAAGGATGGAAACCATACAGAAGCATACAAAGGACATTGTTAGGGTCCAATCCCAACCCCTGCTGTCTCACAGATGTAGTCACAGCAGACTGACGGTGTTCGTTCTCCTTGCCTCCTCTGTGCAGGACACAAGTGTGATGTCAGTATATGGACACAGGTGTGTTCTGACATGAATAATAGCAACAGTGACTGACTCGTAGGCCCGATGGGGGGCACCAGCCAATATGGTGGTCCTCTCATCTGCATGAGGTAGTGCAGTTATTCTACCCGTGTCACAGATGTAGAAGCTGAAGGTTAGACTGTCACCGTCACAGAACCACATAGGGCTGAAAGTGGATTTGAACCCAACCACACTTACCCCAGAGTCTCCACACTATTGTTTCTGTATTGTAGGCACTATTCTTCCACATGATTTTCCTTCTTAGTAATATTAGCTTGAGCTCTTGCCATGTAAGTACATATATACATTTACTTACTTCATGTTTTTAATGACTCTACATATGATTCGATATTGTATTTTACCACTTTCTTATTTAGACTGTTTTCTGTTTCTGTGCCCTAAACTGTTCTACATAATACAGTGCTGAATATCCTCAGTATATACACTTTGGGGCACATGTGTGAGAATTTCTGTAGGATAGCTTTTAGATGTGGAGTCTGTATGTCAGGGAGTATGCACATATTACATTTTTATAAATATTGCCAAAGTTGCCTTCCAAAAAGAATTTTCTCACTGACTGTGTGAGAATGCCTCTTTCCTCACACTGGTTTCCTTTTTATCTTTGCCACCTTGATGAAGAAAATGTATTTTTCTAAATTGTGTTTCCATGATTCCTGATGGGGCTGAGCTAATTCTTTACTGTGAGGGTCATCTATGTGTCCTCTGGAAATTGTCTTTTGCCCCATTGCTGTTTCTCATTATAGATGCTCTTTATATGTTCTGTCTGATAATCTTTAGTCTGAAAGGCATGGCAGATATTTTCTCACTGTGTGTTTCTTCTCTAAGTGGAGACCCCATTGTTCTCAGTATTAATTGAATAATCAGTTTTTTCAACTTATTTGAAACGCCACCTTTATCATAATTCTCGTGTTGTATAGATGGCTGTATAACTGGTTCCTCCTTTCTGTTCCACTGGTTTATTTTCTGTTTCTGCACAAAGAATTAAAGTACTTGGATTATTTCAGCCTTAGAATAACTTTTCATATCAAGAAGGGAAACTCCGTTTCATTGGTGCTCTCTTTTTCAAAAAATGTCTTAGTATTTTTGTGCATTTTTTTCCTTCCATGTGAGCTTATAGAATTAGTTTGTCAACTTCTATCGTGGAAACGCCTATGAGTACTTTGATTGAGAATGCATTGCATTAATAGGTTCATTTTAGATAAATTGATATCTTTACAATATTTAGTTTTTCCATCTAAAAATACTGTGTCTCTATTTAAGTCTTTTATGTCCATCAGTCAAGTTCAATGGTTTTCTTTATGTAGATCTCTCATTGAAAGGTTTATTTGTTGCTATTACAAATAGGGTCCTGTTTTCCCATTACACTGACTTAATTTATATTGCTAGTGAAAACTATTGGTTTTTGTTTGTTTGTTTGTTTTTAAGATTTTATTGCGGAATTGGGGGGAGGGGAACAGTGTTGGGGGACTGGGGGAGGGGAACATCCAAGTTGTTGTCCTTCAGTCTTAGTTGTGGAGGGCACAGCAAGCTCAGCTCCAAGGCCAGTTGCGCCACTCAGCTCAAGGTGCTATGTTCAATTAGTTGCAGGTGGGTGTAGCCACCATCCCATGTGGGAGTCAAACCAGCAGCCTTGTTGTTAAGAGCGCACGCTCTATCCACTGAGTCATCCGGGCAGCAGCTCAGCTCAAGGTGCCGAGTTCAGTCTCTAGTTGCAGGCAGGTGTAACCCACCATCTCGAACGGGCAACCTTGTTGTTAGAAGCACATGCTCTCGCCAGCTGAGCCATCCTGCCACCTGTTGGCAGCTCAGCTCAGGCACAGCTCACCGGCCCATGTGGGAATCAAGCTGATGACCCTGTTGCTCAGAGCTCGCAATCTTGAGCCAGCTCTTAACCAACTGGGCCACTCGGCCGGCCCCAAAAACTATTGGTTTTTATGTTTTTTATCTAGCTACTTGATCGAACTCTTATTAATGACCTTTATACTTATTTTTCTTGACTTATCACATTGGCCAGGACTAAAACAATGTAGAAAAACATGGGTGAAAGTATATACATCCTTGTCTTGTTCCTGTCTTTAATGAGCACGCTTCTAATGTTGTGCCACTAAATATGATGGATATGCTTTATCCACTGGAAGCAATTTCTTTCTATTCCTAGCTTACTGAGGAGTGTACTTTTCACTGCAAACTATAGCAGATTCCTATCGAGGGTCTTAACTCTTTCCCTTCCGTTTTCCTTGAGAATCCAGAGATTGTCCTAATCACTGGGACTTCCTGGCATTGACATCTCAGCTGAGCCTGCATGGATTAGAATTGAGTAATGTCTCTCCTCTCTTCCTCCTTTTGCTCATCTGGGACCCTGGATGGCCTCAGGGAAGGAGCTACTTTCTGCTGACATTTCCTACACTCCCCTCGCCTGCCAGGGAAAAATAAATTAAACATACCATGTGGACAAGGACAAGAGCCCCACTTCTGAGGTTTTTTGGCAGATACCACTGAAAAGAATTTATGCCTGGCTTCTACAATACTTTTAAATAACTTCAGTTTTTTTCCACTTGATTATCTTGAGTAGCTGAGCACCATCTCATACTCTGGTTGCTAAGTGGCTTCTGTAGTTTCTACAAGAGAGCGTGAGAAAGGACTCAGTACCTGGCCTCTGATTTCCTCTTGAGATTTTGTGTGGGTGCAGGGTGCACCCACTTCTAACTCTAGACTCTCAGCTCTGTCTTGCACATAGTTATTGCAAAACAGATGTTTTCACAGTTGATTGATGAAATGACTTAATTGCAGAGTACATTTGATCATTTTTAGGTGGTGAGATTATTTGCTAAGCTATGAACAATATTTCATTTTGTCAGGCATGCATTTGGAGGATGACTCTAATGTGACTTGGCACCTGTCTAGAGAATTATCTGTGTGACCAGTGACATTTTGCTTTGGGGAAGTCAACACCTGCTGTGATGGCATCTGTCATATTTAGGGACATGGAATGCCCAAGGATAATGCAGAGCCACCTCAATAAAATACCTTCTTCAGAAAACAATTAATATAAGACTTTGGCCAACAATTGTAAACAGCGTAGAAGAGAATTTGGGCTCCTTCTGAGAATGAGCAATAGATGATGTCTTTTACTATTTTATTGTTTTTCAGACTGTTTAGCTAAGAAAGCAAGAACCTGCTAAGAGGATCCTTTGTTTTTGTTGCTTTAATAAAAACCCATCATTAGCCTCCGACACCAATTCGTGTGTGAATGTTTTTGAGATGGGGTTTTTTTTTGGGGGGTGGGATATGGATTGGACTCATCTCAGGCACGTGGTGTGTAACTGGCAACTGTCTAGGAGAGCCCAAGCCAAGAGAGAAATGAAAGGCAGAAACCCCAAGAGGCAAGGTGGCCCCATCATGACAGGCATGAATGAGTAGCTGGCCTTTGAGCCCCTCCCAGTTCCAGTGGGGTGAGCTTCAGCGTCTAGGGCTGTTGGTGTAGGAAGCTTGGTCAATTGGACAATTATTTTTTCTGCCTCAGCTTCTTCTCTTTTCCTCCATATCCCCAAGTCCAGAAAAGAGGCTGGGGGCAGTGACCAGGAGTAGACTAAATGTCTCCTACCTCTTCCCTTGCAGGCAGGTGACAAACATTACCACCCCAGCTGTGCACGATGCAGCAGATGCAACCAGATGTTCACAGAAGGCGAGGAAATGTATCTTCAAGGTAAGGTGGGCTCGAGAACCCAGCAAGCTCTCCCTAACTGGGCAAAGAAAACCGTCCTGTGTTTGCTTATTTGATTGTTTTTAGAGAAGGAGGCATTTCATTAGCTGGGAGGCCACCCAGATCCAAAATGAATGTGGCCAAAAGTTACCTCATCCGTTAGTATTAATCAGCCTAACAATTGACATGCTGGCTGTGAGTCCCCCAGGCTGTTAACAAACGAAAGCGTTGCTGCTGGAATGAATGACTAGGCCTGGATGTTTGATGCTATGGGTGTCAGGTAAGAGTGAAGAGGAGAAACACCTTCTCCCATCCTCCCCAGGCATAGGCTGGGGGAACAAAAGATCAAAAGAGAGAAAGCATCTCTAGAAATGCCACTCATTGGATAGCTTTTCCCCTTTTGTTACCCTGACAAGGGCCTTTTTTTTGAGGCCTCCCAGGCTGCTCTTAACCAGGCTTTCAGGAAGAAGAAAATCTCATATTTGGGGAATTGCATCACAGATGTATTTCATCCCATTAAGATGACATAGCTTTCATATTAGAGGGAGAGGGAGAGAGAGAGAGCAAACACACCCAAAGTCCCTGAAAGAGAAATTGGAAGTTTCTGGTGGCATTACCAGGGGGTCATTAGATATATATATTTTTTTAATTGAAAAATAATTTTGAGAAATTTTCCCACTGTCACAGCTATGACTAGTTTTTATCTCCTGTAAAATTCTGAAGCTTTTCAGAGAGGCTTTAGGGAAAGATTCTATTCCAGTCATACAGCACCATCTGTGCAAGCATTTTACTATTTTTAGCTGTAAAGCCATCATTAAATAGACAAGGGCTTATCAGTAAAATTAGCAGTAAGAGCTAATAGTAAGAGCTATTGCTCGTTGAACTTTGGTAATTACTGGGTCTCATCTGCTTTTGCATGTCATTTCTTCCTTTCTCTTTGCCCATAACACTATGTATTTTTAATGAATGGTTTGCTTTGCTCTCAGCTTTTTTATGCAACCAAGAAAAGTCTACAGAAATGACTCTGGAATGTGAAAGCAAAGCTTTAATACATGCTAGCTGTATGAGAAATTAACAACCCAGACATCCTTGTCACTGTAGAATTATCACTCTGAAAAGTTATGAATAATAAAAAATAAAAATGAAAAATCACTGCATTCCAAAAGACCCAATAAAGGCAAGTGACAAGAACTGGCGCCTGTGGTCTCTTGTGGACTTCCCGTGACACATTTCCCTGAGGACAAGCTGTAAACCTGCGGCAGCAGTTGGCAGGTGTCACTTTGCATTTTCAGAGTGGAGCAGATTTATTCTGCATTTGGTCCCCAGGCTTTGTTTTAGATTGTAGTGTGTCAATTCCAGCACTCCAAAGCAAAGACACGAGAGAGAGCGTGCCGATCAGCCCTGTCTGCTTGGAACAGTGGCTCCGAGGCTCTGGGGGACGCTCTGCACCTTCCCACAACTAAGCAGCCACCCACCTGTCAAAGGAGGCCACATCCAGATTCCAGGGATTGCTGTACATCTCGCCTTGAGCTTCAGCACCCCCTGCTCGACCTCTCTGCACATCCTTGAAGAATGAGCAGTTTCATCTTCCTCAGCATCTGATGGTCTCCCTGTGTCACATTCCTTGTGTGCCTGACCTCTGGAGAACAATGTGACACTGTGTGCAGAGCCGGTGTTTTGGCCAAGGACTCTGGCTCAATCGAACCTTCACAGAGAGTGCTGCTCCTGGGCCCAGCCCTGACCCCGTGACCCTGGTTCCTCATTCAGAGAGTTTCCTGTGCTTTGTAGCCAGCCTCAGAGTAAATGTTAGTGCTGAAGGGACTGTGTGTCTGTCTAGTTTGTTTGCTTGACTTTCTTTTCTTTTCTTTCTTCTTTCTTCCTTCCTTCCTTCCTTCCTTTCTTTCTCTCTCTCTCTCCCTCCCCCTCTACACCCCCCCCAATTCTCTCCTTTCTTTTTTGGGCCCTAGATTAAGTAAGATAGAAATGATTGTTAAATAGGGATTCAAGTATTATTCTGATATGAAATGTATTTTCCTTGTCATTAATTTTAGATTATTTTAACTCAGTGGTATAAAATAATTCAAGACTTATTTTAATTTGGTGTCTTTTCAAATACACACAGATTGCTGCTTGGAGAGAGAAAGATTTCAACAATACAGCGTAGGATGTCTAATAGTCATACTGATACTTTTATTAAATTCATATCATTTACTCACTGCTTTCAACTTAGTCTTTTTAAGTCCTCCTCAGTTCTCCTGCCCATCACCACATTTGAACATACCCACTATGAACGTAGGACTTGCATGTAGGTCTTTTGCATAAGTGTATAAATGACATATATTTCTGCATACAAAATTATACAGACAGGCTTGGATTCTCACAAGAGAAGAGCTTTCTGTTGGCTGTAAGTGTTTTGCATAGTTCTGTGATACTGGTACCATCCATGAAAATGCTTCATATTCTGAGAAAGTGTGCCATTGACCCAGGGACAGAAAATGATACTTAAACTAGTAGTTTCATGAGTTTAAAGGTGAAGACTTCCTTTTTAGTTAATTGAAAGGTTAAAAGTTAAAGGAAACTTTTGGTTTTGTAACATCACTTTCAACCTTCCTACTAGTTGGCCTGATTTCCCATCTCTGTGTAGATGACGAAGTGTAATTGGATCAACAGAAAATTCAGTGAGTTTTGCTTCTGAACATAGACTACCTGGTTTGACTGTATTTCCCTCTTCTAAATTGCTTGGTTGTTTTGATGTTATATATAGGCCTGGCTGATGCCTGAGATTTCTGAAATCAAACGCAGCACACAAATGTTATTCTTAAAGGATAATAATATGGCTGGGAAAGAAAAAAAAACAGTCAAGAGCAAAATATCTCTTGCTTCAAAACACTCTTGTGCCCAGTTAGTGGGTTCCATGGTCTGGAATTATGGCCTTTACAAAACAAGCTCAGACGAGAGGAGAACCCCTGGAGTCTGGAGTGGTTCACTTGGACACACAGCGCTCTTACCCTCCCCTGTGCTGGGGGAGAGGGGTGTGAACCGTTCTCAGAAGTTCTGTCTCACAGGACCGTGGCTTCGTTCCTTTTGCCTTGATCTTAGTGGTGCATTTGTCTTTCCAGGTTCCACCGTGTGGCATCCCGACTGTAAGCAATCTACCAAGACGGAGGAAAAGCTTCGGGTAAGGAAATTGCTGGAACTGTGATGACAGGTGCACTTGCACGCCATCCATGTCAGAGTGACTCAGTCTCCAGGCTGGAATTTGGGTGAAATTACTTTTTCCTGACTTTTTGTCTCAATAGTGGACCAAGTTGAAAGGCGATTTGGCCAGGGAAGGAGGTTTCCTCCTGCCTCAAATTGATGGGGATTTTTGTTTCCAATGCTTGTGTTGGACAAAGTAAGTCTTGCCTCACTAGTCAGATTCTTAGGAAAGCATTTAGGGAAATGTCAGACCATACAGATGTGAAAAAATGATTCATGGAGTTCTAGGTCGGGCATTGGTGACCTGCTCACCAGACTTTGTTATATTTAGTCCATAATGCATCACTCCCATCCAAACTCTGTATCCGGTGCTCAGCTGTGGGCCCTCTCAAATCCAAATTCACTGAGTAGCCTCCATCTCCAAAAGCTGATGGTTTATCAGATAAAACCTGTGGGGAAAATAATGATCAGCCCAGATGTGTCAATGCGAACAAGCAGCCTGGAGGGTTTTAGCACTTAACTCTCAGGTAGCATCACAATGTTTTCGTAACTATTCTACAACATTGAGCACACAGGCAAGAAGGATATACCTTCCTAATCTCTCTCAATTCTGAAGCCTTGGTCCTGGTCTTATCAATTCTCAGAACACCTCCAGATGACAATACTTTTATCGGTTTCAGAAGCAAAGAGCAGTACACCATTGTAAGGTCATTATCATAATCTATACCCTGTTCAGATGCCCCAGTTTTTCACCTGGGCTGTGCAGTATTTTTCAAAGCAATAATTAGACTGGATTCCAGTCCACAGTCTCTTTGTTTAGCTCACTTAGTGGTACCCTTGGAAAAACTGCAGTTGGACTGCATTCCACTTGGCGTCTCAGAGCAAAGAATGGACTGAATTGATTTTGGAGGCCAGACTCTAGAGTGTGGTTTCATTTCTTCTTGATCTGCCTTTAGTAGACAGAAGGAGCTATGTATATAACCTCAGTAATAGCATACTTCAAGTGGAGAAAAAAATGCGCTTTTCTCAGAATTATTGAGTAAAAGTAAGACAAACTGCAAAAGAATTTGCCCACCAATATCAGGATGGTTTTGGTGTCTGTTTTGACATGCAACTTCAATTTGAGCACCTGTGTATTACTCTCAAGTTCATTGACCAGCAGGCACACACTGGAACAGTCACCTATGTCTAGGTACCAGATTCTGGGTTTTTTGAGGAACCAAGGATGCTTTGGAAATGGGTTATCTTTATAAAATGCTAGAACATGAAAGATAGTGCTTATGGTCACTTTTATCATAAGACTATAAAATTCACCATATAGCTTGGAGGCATTTCCCAGAGACCACCCAGGTAGCCAGGGGTTTGCACTGCCTCTACAGTGTTGCTTTTAGTCTTCTGAATAATTATGTTTACTTCATCCCCTATGATGTCTTTTGAGAGACGAAGAGAATGCTACCGAGACCAAACTGCATGGAATGGGGTCTTTTCTCTTTAAGGGAGGATTGCTTGAGTTTGCAGATGGTGTTACTAAAATGACTTAAGAAAAAAGAAAAAATCAACACTGTTGATCACATCTTGATGGAACTCTCTGGATAAGCTTATGAAAACAACTAGTGAAATACTTCCACTCACTCTGGCCAAGAGAAGCTATTGTTTTTTCCTTCCTCAGTGAAGCTTTCCAGAGAATTCCAAAGCTCTTCTCCTAATGCCAACATTTACCATTGGGAGGTCAGGCCAGCCCTGGGCTCACTCACCTTTGGGGAGTCAGGGGTGAGGAGGAAGAGGATGTGCTTCCAAGGGGAAGACATTCTGATGCGCCTCAAGTGGAGAAACTGGGGTACATGCTGACCTGGTGGGATTTCAAGTAGAATCGGTTTTTGAATAAAGGAATAAGCCTTGTGCTCTCTTAAGGGTGGGTCTGTCTGCAGATCACAAATTTGAGCCAAGATTTCTGGGCCTTTCACCGCTTGTCACATTAGTGCAGTTACCATAGCAAAGTGAAAATGTTTTAAGAGTCTTTCAGCAATGCCACTGAGTAATTCACATTCTTGATATTTAAGAACTCATGGGGTGTTTGTAACAACAGATTCTTAAAAGAACATCTCACAGTGGCTTCGTTGGCTTCTAACGCTTCATATGGAATGTCTAAGCCAAAATAAATGGAAAGGAATCACGGGGGATTGGAACGCGGGTACATATACTGTACCTTGAAGACCAGTAAACATGCTTTTAAACACGGGGCCCAAAACATGTTCACACACATACATCAATCAACTAAAGCAACGACACTTGGCGTTTACAGTCAGATCAGTTTCCCGTAAGTTTTTTTTTGGTTTTCTTTTGTCATGTTTCTAAATTGAGGTTATTTCTTTGTTCATTCTTCCCTTTTTTCATGTTTCACGGCAGCCGCCAAACATTCAGCGTTCTTCGTCCGATTTCTTTTATCCCAAAAGTCTGATTCGACGCACAGGACGGTCTCCGTCACTGCAGGTTGGCGCTGTGTCTAGCTAGGCTGAGGCTCGAGCCGTTGTCCTGGGCCCGGGCTTCTGTCGCTTTCCCTCCGTGTGCTGCTTTCCCCGTGTAACCTGTCTAGCTCCGGCAAAGGCAGATGCTTTTTCTCACCCCACAGAGTGCATCTCACATTCTGATCCTGGCTGTTTTCTCTGATCAGTGTTTTGTCACATAGAGCAGTGGCGAAAGCATTGCCTTTATTAAAGGAAGCACATTAGAAGCTACCCGTTTGGTCCTATGAAATCATGTTTGTGCACTGAACAAATATTTGCCAAGCACCCAGGTTACAGTGTGGGCTGGATGCTGTAGAGGGAGGCTAGTAGGGAAGAGAAGACAGAGAAATAATTATGGAATGAGAAAGAAACATATCACAGAATATAGATCACACAGATCAGGACATGTCTGATGAGGGAAAGGGGCACTTCCTGGAGGCCGGGTGGGATTTGAACATGTGGAGATGATAAGACGGGCGGCAGGAAAAACAGGACCTGGCTAGGGAGTAGGTTAGCTCAAGAAGGGAATAGTGAAATCGGAAGGGAAACACAGACCAGGCATCCGCTCTGCAGAGGCTGGGAGATTTACATACACCCTCATTGGCCTTTCTACGAATTCCCATGAGATAGGTATCCTTGTGCCCACTTAACAAGTGGAGAGACGAGACCCTTTAAGTAACTTCCCCAGAGTTACCCCACTGGTAAGTGCAAGAGCTCACCCCGTCCCTGTGAACCCATATCTCCTGTTCTTCCCCATTGCTCCACAAGGGGAAAGAGGGAGAAACCTCAGAAGACAGAAAGGGGAGCGCATTAAATACTGGCTATGTCTGATGGTGCTTCAGGAAGAGGGCGTCCTCAGATGCGCAGTGAGGCAGGAGATTGCGTTTCTGGCACGTACTTGACCTTCTTTCAGGGTCTCTGAGAATCATTTGAAACCTTGGCCCTGTTAAATTGCAAGTGACTTTCCACAGCCCCATCTTTGCCCAGATAAAACCCACTTTGTCGCTCTGCTGGCAATTCAAGATTGCAACCAGCACTTTCTCCTGGGCTTGACGCCTACGCCTTTTTTCTCTGCCAGCCAGAACCGCACTAAGGCTGGGAAGAGTTTTGGTTTAAACTTCACCTTCTAATGATGGGAAAGATAGTTAGAAGTCTAGTAGAGTTTTAGGGTGGAAAGAAACCACTTAGACATCAACCCCCTAAGTTTCTTCATCTATAGAATGAAGTCAGCCCAAGGCCTCACAGGTCATAAGCAGCAAGACGTCACTGCAGAAGCCAGGCCTCAAGTTTGCTGTGTTCCCCATGATGCTGAGTTAAACGATAGCTTGTATTTGTCTTAGGACTTTTATCCTGTCTTAAATCTTTAGCTCCAGGGGCAGAGTTTTCACATAAAGTGAAATTATAGTCTCATGAATCCAGAGGAGCAGCCAAAGATCACCCCACTGCAAATGGGTGTTGCTCAGAATTAGCACCTCTTGCTGGGCAAGAAGTTGCTTTTTTAATAGTTTTCTGGGTAATTTATTGTCTAAGGCTAACTGATACAGTTTCATGACTTGAAAAAAAATACCATCATCAAGTGTGAAATATTTTGGTTTGCTTCAGACCCTTAAGTCTAAGAGAGAGAGAGAGAGAGAGAGAGAGAGAGAAATCTGTGTTTAATAACTTCTCTCTTCCTATCCTGTTATTCAAGAGAGACATCTGATCCCCATTATCCAGCCGTAAATATCAATGAAGTCAGCTGTAGCTCCATCCCAGAAAGTTGTAAACAGCTTGGGACCTGGCAGAGAAAACAGGCCATTTGAGAAGGTCCCCTTCACCCATTGGCCACGGAAGGACAGCTCACCAGAACCTTTAAGAAGCCTGAAAACTCCAAAGCGATTCTCAAGTTACACAGATGTTTTGATTTTCTAAACACGGTGGCCCACACAGCAGCCCATTCCCCAGACAGCATCAGACACCATAGTTATTAAATAAGCTGACTGCGCGCCTTGCAGGACAGCCAGCACTCCCTGTCCCAGAAGTCAGCCCTGGTTTTGATGCGGAGGAGAGTCAAAGGTATAGGAGGAAAGTCATTTTATCACTTATCTTCCAAAATTGCTCCTCCTTTCCTTCTGCTGAATTACAGGTAAAAGAAAATGATGAAACTAGAATTACCTAAGAAAAACATATTCCTGTTTTACGGACTTGGAAGAGTTTTCTATGAATAGCCAGTTGTGTCTGTAGGTAAAACTCAATACTGAGCATTTGTAATTCTTTTTGTCATTCCTTAAACGAAGCACATGATAGTCCCAGGACCAAGTTTGTAATAATTCGTGTGGATCACTTGCTTTCATTCTAAAAAGGGGGCTTCTCTGCTGTGCCGTTGGCAGCTAGAGCATGAAAGGGCTGTCATACAAAATGTGTGAGATTAATTTTTTTCTTTCGAAACTAACATTCACCTATTTATAACGTATGCACTTGCAAACCTATAATGTACCAAACAAATACCATGTGTATATTTTTATAAAGGAGCTAAGTAGGGCTTTATGTACATCTAGAACAAGGAAATAATGGTGATTATTGGTTTATTAATGTCACTGCAATATATACTGCTTTATTCTCAGCTTTCACTTGGAATCTTTTATTCTGTTTGGTCTTTATAATTCATCAGGATATATATAGGTGTTAAGATTTATGCTGGAAAGAGCCTGAGGCCCCTTGGCCATTGTAAAAACTGATGGCGTCTGTGAAACTCGCTGCAGAAGGGGGGGGTGTGCCTGCGAGTCCCTCCTGCTTCCTCTCAAACAGAAATTCCCTTTTCCAAAGGAGTTGATTTCACACCTTCTTAACTTAGGAGAGAACATACTGTGTATGCAGATTTAATTTAAAAGTATTCCTTCTTCTGCAGCTATTGTCACCACCTTCTCTAGTGAACTTCTACAAAAACCCAAGGCAGGTACTGTCAACCTCAGCATCACTTCGTATAAGGTGTCAATCACCTTATAGCAGTGGTTGCCCCATAGATATTCATAAGATCTTTCCGATCTGATTGCCAGTTAGTTGCCTGTAGTTTCTCTCCCTTCTTAGAGCATGGCTTTGGATGAACGCAAATTAGATGAACGTAGTTGTTGCATCCTGCTCCTGCCTAGTGGGGGGAGGGCAGGGGCAGCGAAGTGCCTTCCAGCACGCTCCTTCCAGGAAGGGACCAGGTGTGCATGGTGGCCCATAATTGAAAGTAAATGGAAAATGTCATTTCTCTGCTTACTCGCCTGGCAGAGCTCTGGTAAGTTTTTCTTAACAGTCAATATTTGAAGAATGATGAGAGCTGAAATGGAAACATAAAAAGATCCCTTCAATGTAATTTTCATTCTGTGACTGCCTTCTGAATGGTAGGACAGGTCGACAAAGTCAAAGCATAGGGAAAACATCAGCTGAAATGTGGTTAGAGGGCTTTTTAAAAATATTTCATCCAGAAAACAAATAGACATGCATTTTCAAGCATCTACGATTAGTGAACAAATGCCATTTTTTCCCTTTCCTGTTGAACTATTCGTCTTCTGGTAAGACTTCTCTTTGTTGATTTTTTTTTTTTGAGGAAACTAAAAAACTTTATTGAAATCAAAAGTGAGTATGTGAAGGTGGGCTGAGGAATCACATGTAGGTCATACGGACCCCTTCTTCATGAGAGATTGAGTGAGGGCAGCCACATACAACTAGAAGGTTCTTACTGAAGGCTCCTTTCCTCCTGTTGACACAATCATGATTAAATTATTTGCCTCATCTCATTGGCAAAATACTTGGAGAGATTACAACCAGTCCATAATCCTTTCTATGTCTATATGCCTTCGCTCCCCAATGCCTGCCTCCCCTCCCCCGCCTTTTTTTTTTTTTTTTTTTTTCAAAGAACTGAATTTTTCCAACTGTGCTTTCCAGTTGGTTTTTTTCTGTGTTGATGAAAGGAAAGGAAAGGAAAGGAAGTAAATTGAATATGCTTTTAACAGCTTAATCACAGGTCCTTGTTTCTCTGTAGAACAGAAGTGGGCATACCTTAAGGCTGTTGACCAATTGTGTTATTGAATTCAATTGGTAGTTACTGGGTCACTGTTGTTCTCCTGGTTATCTGAATGGGTGGAAATAGTAACTTAGGTTAAATAATTGCATGTCAGGATCATCTGCAGAAATACGGATCATCTGTAAAACTGTCACAGCCCAATGGGGTGACACGAGAGTTAAGTTAATGGTAAAGAAGAATCTGTCAGTGGAATTTGAAAGAAGGAAAGCATGTCAGGAAGTTGTTGCTTTTGAGGTTAAGATGAGTTTCCTTTTGAGTGGATTTGAGCTGCTCTGTTGGAAGACGGCTGTGGGGCTGTTGAAGATGTCTTGACCATTAGATACCCTCAGCAAGTTACGTCTTAATCGGGGAAAACACAGCCCAAAGAATGAAAGGGGTTCTTTTAATAATAAGCAATGTGTTGGTTTAAAAGTCAACAATGTTTAGAATTCTAGATGTTTAAAATTAAAATGTGAAATTCCAAATATTTAAAATTAAACCTCTAAAATAATAGTTCAGTTTTTAAAAAGTATTTTTATTGTCTTCATAAGGGAGAGAGACCTCTCTGATCCCTCCTGGTTAAGCAAATACACTTCGAGAGCCATTAGGGGATGTGACAAAAAGCAGGCGATCCATGGGTGCTGTTTCAGCCCTGAGCACAGGTCAGGAGGCAGCAAACCAGGAATTGTCCTGGCCGATAAGGCAGGCCTGCGCAAGATCTTCACCATACAGTGCGGAAGGGCATTCACTACTAATGCTGAGACCCAAGCAGGAAGTCACCGTCTCGGGAGGATGCAAAACCACTTCCGAACTGAGTTCTCGAGAAGGGGAAGGACATTTGTCAACTCCAGGTGGGACTGCTGCCTCATATCTGAGGTCTGATGGGGGGGCCTCCATCAGAGGCCTGGTAGGGAAGGCTAGTCTGTGCAGCTCAAGTCAACAGAGGCAGCACTGGTCTTCATTATTTGAGATTAATTGGCCAAGTAATCCAGCCTAATGTCAAGTGTCTTGAAAATGCTGGGTGCTCACCATGTGCTAAGCAAGGTGCTTGAAGTTTTATATGTATTGTCTCTTTTATCCCTATGAAGTAGTGGCTGTTAGTTCCCTCCCCTCCGTTCTATAAATGGAGA